TAAATCCCAGAGACTTGGAAGGCTGAGGCAGGAGGATCACAAGTTCAGGATCAACCTCAGCAATTTGTCAAGGCCCTAAGGACTTAGTGAGACCCTGTCTCACTCAAAATAAAAAATAAAAAGGGCTGGGGAGGGCTGGAGTTGTGGCTCAGCGGTAGAGTGCTCGCCTAGTATGTGCAAGACCCTGGGTTCGATCCTCAGCATCACATAAAAACAAACAAATAAAATAAAGGTATTGTGTCCAACTACTACTAAAATATAAATATTTTTAAAAGGAGGCGGGGGCTGGGGAAAAATTAAAAAGTGGCTCAGTGGTTAGGCATCCCTGGGTTCAATCCCCAGTACTGGAAAAAAAAAAAAAAAAAGTAAAAACTATTCTTAGCTTGTGGACTACACAGAAAGAGGCTGCAGGCCACATATGGCCCATGGGCTATTATGTATTAACCCTGATTTTAAGAAAAGGGAACTCAAGAAAAATATGCAATGTCACAGAATAAAATGTCTAAAAGTGTTCTAACAAGACTAAGCTGCAACAATTACCAACATGTGGCTATTAATTATTTCATTAGTTATTTTGATCACGGAAGAAATTTTTTATGGCAGAACGTACTTTGATCTTCTAAGCTGAAACTACAAACATAGAAAGAAAGGGCAAAGAACAGCTACAAATGCTAAGTTACCCCACTATAAACTCTTATAGGGATCAGAGCCATTTAATGGACATTGACTATTTCCCTAAGCAGACACGGTTAATGAAAGTGGAAACATCTGGGTTAGGGTTGTGGCTCAGTAGTAGAGTGCTTGCCTAGCATGTGTGAGGTACTGAGTTCTATTCTCAGCACCGAATATAAATAAATAAATAAAATAATGATCCATCAACACCTAAAAAAAATATTTTTAAAAAAAGTGGAAGCATCCTAACTTCCTCACACAGGCAAGCGTGCAAAATCTAATTCTTCCCGGAAAAGGTGGTGACTTGAATTTATGGAGATGATCATACAGATCAGAAATAACAGCAGCTCATTGTGAAAAGTGACAGACTCAGATTTGGAGTTTTACTGAAGGCTTCGCTACAACCAGCTATGTAATTTTGAGAACATCAACTAAACATTCATTTTCTCATTTATAAAATTAGGGTGGGGCACAAAGAAGATAATTTCTAAGACTCTGCTGTCAAAGTATGACTATTCTAAATAATGAAACCACTCAGGAAATACCTAACAGGAAGAAGGGGGTAGGGCAGGGGAGAGACAGCAAAGGGAAGAAGTTTAGATTGTCCTGTTAGAGGACAGGGCTGAGTTATTTGTTCTACCAGCATCTTGTTTCACATAGGGTCATTTTAAGATATCAATATGTATCTGTATCAATATTAAAAGGCAGCCACATCCCATWGGACATATATGATTAATCGTATTACCATTCCTGATTGCCTTAATGTTATATTTTACAATATAGTAATGTTAATAATGGTTATATAAAGGACGTTTTTTTGGAACCAATCAATCACGAATTTTTTTAAATTTTCAAATATCTGAACTGAAAGGTCAGTTGGTCTTGAACACTGTGCCTATAATCTCTTCAAGTGGATAAAACAACCCATACTCCATGTTTAACAACTATTACCTGAATGATATATACTGGAAGATCCCCAACAAGTCAGATAAAAGAAAGCATTGACCACAGCAAAGCACAGAAAGGAAATGAAAGAGACAGAGAATGGTAAGAACTTAAGAGAAGGGAGAAGAAGAAAGTATCTATAAGACAACTATATCTGGAACCAAAATGATAATGGTCTCCTTCCTTTTGATGACAGAACTCCCATCACAACAGTGTCTGAAGATGGCAGGCTCCCATTTTTAAAAACTACACAAACTTTGAACAGGCAAAATTAAGACTTAAAAGTATCTTCATGGGAAGAAAACAGATATGTGTACATATCTACCAAAACATACACGCAAACCCCAGGCATTAAGAAATGAGTATTTCCTGTGATGTAGAGTTTATCAAGTTATGTCAGTAATGCTAAAGCAGACCTTTGTCAAAACCCTTTCACAGAAAACCCCAGAAATTTACACATGTAGGTACAATATGACTGGAGAGGAGATGGGCCACCAACTGTCACCTYAACATTTCAGATCATTTAAAGATAGGGTAAAGGCTTAGGGGAAGTAACTTTGCCTCTAAAGAGGTGAACACCACAGTGATGAATCTAGTGGAATTTTTCACTAGAACGGTGTTAACATTCAGCTTATTTTCCTAGCTTAATTTCAATGGCAAAGCATTAGGTTTCAGGTACATAAATTCTCCTGCTGTTTGAAGGTAGTGTGCTACCACTTCCTGTTGGAGCTCTGAGGCTAAATAAGAGGCATGGGATTTTCCCCTCCTCCTCCAGGTCAACTGAAGAAGACACAGCTCACAGCTTCTGTTTACCACATCCACCACACAAGCTCCCCCATGAGATTCACCCCATTTAATGTCTACCTCCTATTCTAAACTGCTACAGGATGCTGGTTTTCATTTCTTAATAGCTGCAACCATCCAAAGAAGCTCATTTCAATCATATATATATATATATATATAATATTATATTATATATATGCCACACAAGAAAAATTTGAATCCTCAAAATATATATGCATACATATTTACACATATTTATAATTATATTGGGTTATTGGGTGCTGAGGATTGAATCTAGGGCCCTCATGCCTGCTAATCATATGCTGTACCACTGAGCTAAACAACCCCAGCACAAAAAAGTAAGAGTTAAAAGCTACTATTTTGCTGGTATGGTGGCGCATGCCTGTAATCCCAGAAGCTAGGGAGGCTGAGGCAGGAGGATCATGAGTTCAAAGCCAGCCTCAGCAAAAAGCAAGGTGCTAGGCAACTCAATGAGACCCTTTCTCTAAATACAAACTAGGACTGGGGATGTGGCTCAGTAGTCGGGTACACCTAAGTTCAAGGCCTGTACCCAAAAATAAAATTTTTTTTAAAAAAGCTACTATTTTAAAAGGAGCAGATGCCCTTACACAAAATGGGGGACAAAAATTAAGGGGAGGGGGAGAAAACTAATGAAATTATTATGAACAAGCAAAAAAAAAATTCAAGGAACTTAACAGAAATATCATCAGTGAGACTTACTCACTTTCAAGGCAAGATATTTCTAGGAGTGTCCCACATAGAATGGGCAAAGGGTACCCACTMGTTAGAAATTGTCCTTTACCAACTGTATTGCAATATGCACTCAACAGTGAAAAAAAGTTATTTGGAGTTTTGAAATTAGTACCAATGTCAAAATTAATGCCTTTTGTTGCTGTACCAGCTCCTACCAAATCTCTTAGGAATATACTTGAGAGATGACATTTAAAGTCTGCTTCCTCAGAAAAGAAAAAGTCCCACTCAAGACTGACTGCCAAGAACTTGCAACTTAAACTTCCCTAAGCCCAGACATCATAACACTCAGGAGATTTTAGACCATGCAATCTGTATGAAAGCAATCAGAATAACAAATGAGAGTCTTTTCCAATACTTGAAAAGTACTCTATACCCATGCATTCTTTTTTTGAAATGATGAATTATCCTTAAAACTCACAAATATTTAAACACATTTATTACCAAGCAGTAGTTCTCTATTATTTCTCAACCCAGAAATGCATGGTGAAATATGAAAGATGTGTTAATAAACTACTATTAGAGGCCAGGCACATCATACAGGCAACCAAAAGCTAAGATTCTTAAGGTACTTACTTAACTCTACTTAATTTAAGGGAAATGATGTTAAGGTCATTTCCACATTCAGCTTAAACCAGTTTTGATTTGTTCTTCAGTTTATAGTAAGTTAGAGATCTTGTTACCTCAACATGTCTTTCACTACAAATGGATGAAGGACAGCTCCCAGTCAACATTAGAAAAAACTCTTGAATCAACTGGAAGTAATTGGGGGGTATATCATATGTTGTGATTCATTTAACAAGTAATAATCAGAACCAAAACAAAATACACAGGCATGCAGGAAGAATTTTAGATCAGTTCCTTGGTTTAAAAGTTAAATATTCAAGTCCCATTCCTCAGGAGATGGTAGTAAAGAGGTGAACCATATTTTCCTGACCACATCATTCATAAAAGTCACCAACAACTTTAACAAACTCAGAACAATTTAATGCTCCATTGACATTATTCTATCATTAGTCATTTTTGTTTTCTCCTTGATCCAAGAGAAGTAAAGAGAAAATCATAACCAATGCTCCCAGATATTGGGAAATGTCCTATGCCCCACTGCTTTCCATTTCCTCTCCCTTTTCCATCTTCTCTGATCAACCTCTTTACAACATATGTTGCTTCCCCTTTTCTTTTTCTCACACCCAGCTCTCCTTTACTTTCTCCACCAAGTATTCGCCTGCCGTCCACTGGTTCCCGGAACCCTTCTCCCACCTGCAATTTTCTTCTGCCCTCTCTCACGGCATCTACGTCCGGATTTCTTATGGCCAATGTCCCCTCATCTTTCACCTCCCGATCATTCATTTCCCTCAGTTCCCTTCCAATTAACTGCCTGGTCTCACTTCTCTTGTCCCTAGTGTCCTCTGTTCCTTTACTTCACGTCCCTCTCATTCTTCCCCCTTCACGTTTCCTTCCTCTTTGCTGTCTTTTAATCCATTTTCATATATACTATCCCCTCTTCTCTCTCCCTGAGATTTCCTGTGTTCCCCCACTTTGTCCCTCTGGGATCCCTCCTTGTCAACCTCAGCCCCTGAACCCTCTCGTTTCCCCAACAGCCCTTGTTTCTCCGGTTTCCCCTTCCTTTGCCCCCTCCACACCCCCGCCTCACGTCCCCGCCCGCCCCTCTCCCTCAAGCCTTCGCCCTCACTCACAGCCCTCGCCTCCCTACGGTTCCTGAGGTCTCCTCTCCTAGGCTTCCAAGCCCTCGCTCGCCCTCTCCCAGGCCCCCAAGTACCCGCCCCCCATTTCTCACTCCCAGTCCCGGGCCGCGGCCCCTCCCTCACCGATGGTGGAGATGAACGTAGTGTTGAAGGCGTCCTCGGAGAAGCGGAACAGAAGGCAGGTCTTGCCCACGCCCGAGTCGCCGATCAGCAGCAGCTTGAACAGATAATCGTACGTCTTCGCCATCTTCTCGCTCCGGCCCTCTGACCCGAGAGCGAGAGAAGGCGGTGGAGAGAGGCCGGGAGGGGGCCGCGGCTAGGGGGCGTGCCCGCCGAGCCGCCGCTCGCTCCGCCCTGCACCCCRCCCCACCCACCCCCAGAAGGACTGCGCGCCCCGCCCCGTGGCCAATCCGTGGAGTCTTCGTCATCACCGCCCGCGTCCCGGGGCTTCATGGGACTGGTAGTGCCTTTGGGAAACCTCGGGCGTGCCCGGTGCGGACAGTCCAGACCGCCACAGCAGACGATCTGTTCTGGGTGGTGTGATCTGTGGACTAGGCATTTCCACCCTAGCAGGGAAGGGAGGATTCATTTTGAACTCTGCTTATCGCGCCGTCGGAACTTAACTTGGTTGTTTCTTTGTTTGCCTTCCAAATCCAGGACTTAGGAATCCGAGTCCCGCAGCTCCCGCATTTCTTCCGCTGGGACCCCGGAGCCAGGATGCTTTCTTAGAGTGACTGTGGCGCAGCTTGCAAAGTATTATCCGTCTTCGTCAATTCCTGACCAGCACCACTGCTTAAGCACCCTCCCGCAGTCCCCCAGTCACAGCTGGAAAACAATGATAACCATGCTAACTTGAACTCTATTCATGCCGCGGAAACCATGGCCAAAAGTGATGACTGTTTTAAAGGATTTGCTACGCAGACTGCCCCCATCTTTCTGCGGGAGGATGGATTTAAATTTTAGAAATCTGGGAAGGCTGTGCTACAGTTTTGTGCCCTATAAAATAACAAGCATCATCGGAGGCGGGAACTTTGGCTATGGGAATTTAAAGAATAAGATTTGGATTTTACAGACAGTACTATCTCCTAGGTGCATATATGATATTTATAGGACCAATGTAATTCTATATCATGTACACTCAGAAGAATGGGAAGTTATACTCCATATATGTATAATATGTCAAAATGCATTCTATTTTCATGTATGAATAATTACAACAAATTTTTTAAATTTTGGATTTTAGGCTTGGTTCAGTCGCTTTAACCACTCTGACAAGTCACTGGGGGTTCTTCTGTAAACCTCGGTTTTCTCATCTATAAAATGGATATAGAACAAGCTATTACATAGGGTTGTAGTGAGAATTACATACCTAATGTGAAAGCACTTTGAAAACCATTAGGCACTGTAGAAGTGTTAGTGATGTTTATATTCAGCATCCTTCAGTAGGCTTTCAAAGAGTGACAATGAATGGAGAAAATAGCATTGTTATACTCAGTTTAATCCTTTATTATTTATTGTCTTAGACTAATTATTTTGTAGGTGTATTATTCAGTACTCTTTTATTTGCTAGTGGTAGAAACCCAATCAGATCAAGCTCCTATGAAAGGAGACTTTACTGGTTCCTGTGATGTAGAGGAGTAGCTTAGGAGACCAGGAGCCCCATTTCCATCAAGAACCTCCTCTTATCCCTTTTCAGTTTTAATGTCTTAATATGTCAAATACCAACAGCTAAAACCCATATGTTAAAAAAAAACATGATAAAAACTCTTTGGAGTCCTAGAAACTTTTTAAGAAAATAAAGGGGTCCTGAAACCAAAATATGAGAGAACCACTGACCCAGACATTTACCTTAGATATAAGGAAACACCTGGAAAATTAGAAGTTAGTAAAGGAACCAGTGGACTCAACCATTGGTGCAGTAAGAAAAAATAATTGGATAATTAATTGAACAAATCAACAGGCTCTGCTAAGACACATCTTGAGTACCTTGTGATTTCATGTACAATGCCACTGATGTTAATCCTATTGTGACAGAAAATTTAATATTGGACTAATATTGGCCTTTATCTTCTATATGGATAGAAGATGAAAATCAACCACTTACACTTATTGATCATACTGTTCCCAGAGGGCATCAGCTGCTGTTGCTGCTGCTGCTGCTGCTGGTATTAACTGGATATCTAATTTCTGGAGCCCACTTGATGAGAACAAAACTCTAATGAGGTCAAAGTCATAGTAATGAGGAAGGATTGAGCTCCCTAATGAGGAAGGATTATGCTCTTTGGCACAAACAGAGCTTCTTTGCCCCAACTAGTCCTTAGGCAAACCTTCCAAGTAGGCTTCAGCCAAGGTCAGAGGAAGTGTGGACAGCTTAGTTCTTTCTATTCCTTCATCCTCCTTCCTGAAAAAAGAAAGAGAAAAAAATCTTCAAAGATTAATGGAATCTTCTTTTTAAAAGTGTATATTTATTAAAATAACTTTTTCAGTCCCACCATCTGCATTCAACTATTGTCATTTTCTTTCTGTAGGAATAAGAACACATTGATATGTAAAGAACTTCAGTTAGAGAAGCTAGAGTGGGAATTTTAAAGTCCCCAAATTTCCCTAGGGGAATTTTGTATATTTATGGGAATTAGAAAAAATAATTCTATCTTATTTTCACTTCCTCAGCTTTTCTCTAGTCCCAAATGTATATAATATTGGGACTTTCTAGTTGGTAAGTTTGTGTACCACTGCTAAACCATTCCATCATTTTGATCTATTGATGCTATTTCAAGAAATATCATATTTTTCTTTTATGCAGTATTCATTTCATATTTTGTGAAATAACATATTTGAGACCAGATTCTTGGTGGTAGTGACTGAGTACTATAGGGTCAAGGCATCTTGCTCAAAGGTTTAAACATTTGTAGAGCTGAGGGTTTCACAGGTAACAGGTTCCTAATTGCTGTTGTTCTCCAAGTGGTATTAGCAGACTCTTGTCTAAAACTCCATGTTACAATGCTCTGAGGAAAACACATTGATACTTTTTGCCAGTTGCCCAAACCCAACCTATAAATGCTATATCACTATAGAGTATTAGGCAGACCAGACATTTAATTTGACTAAGAAAATACTTATTAAAGCAAATGTAGAGTTACCATTCTGCATGACAGCTCAACTACATAAATCTAGTATCCAAGTGTGGATTTTGTTAGACCAGCATTCTTGATTTTAGGAAACTACTCTTAACCCACAGGTAACTGTAAAACATGGTACTTCACTCTTCTAGCCACAGAGGTTAGCATCTCGCTTTGGCTGGATCAAACTGAATTCTTTCTTGTGATCTTTCTAATGAGAAGGGATGATGGGGCTGTAAGGAGGTCTGTCTGGTATGAAGTCTTATGTGAGCTTTACACTGGTTTTGATCAGAGCTTTAGTTCTTCATTGTTCTGTATTATCTTGTTCCTGCCCTCCTCTATACCTACTTCATCCTCATGCTAACTTTCCTCCTGATAGCAAGCAAGACTGCAATGTTGTATGGTTCCAAAGGTGATATTTACCTCCTACAGTAGTTATTCATCTTGGGAGTAAAGACACCTGAGAATCTACAAACATATTCTTAAGGGTCTATGTGTTCTCTATGCAAGTTTTCTAAATTATTTTAAGAATTTTTAAACTGGTCTAAATTAAATTTCTTTATTACACCTGAGTGCTAGAAATGTCTCCTTTATTGCTTAAGTGAAATTAAGTGTTGGTGAGATTTCACACACACACACACACACACACACACACACACACACTTGTCAAGGGTGGGAAAAACAGGGATCAGTCATCATTGGGACTTTACCTCCATTTAATAGTGTTGTAGTAGAGCATGGGTGCTTAACTGGTCCTGAAAAAATAAAAGCAAAGCAACCTATGGCCATCAGTTTGCACCATCAGTGTTGACACTTCTGCCCACCCACTCTTGAGTGCTGGACCTCTGCCATCTGTTGAGCACAGCTGTCTCTCTCGAATGCTGCAAAAATGTCCTTCCTGGTATTTATCTTCACTGACTGATGACTCAACTATCAAATAGTTATCTTTTATTATTGAATAGTTTGTATACTTCTTTGTATCTTTTATTATTGAATAGTTTGTATACTTCTTTGTCTTTTCTCTTAAAACTTGAGCCCTTTGAGGAAAGAGAAGTTGCTAAATTCTTACTGCATCTCCAGCATGCCTAGCAGGATGCTTTATACATAGTAGGTACTCAGTTGAGTTGTTGAATGAATGAATAAATATATAACCATAATGCTAGCAATCTAGCTGATTTTAAAACATTTAGGACATTCTGGTTTATTATTTGCCATAAGATCTATTTACTTTGGGCCTTGCCAAGACCTTTCTGTTTATACTCCACCTTGTATTTATATGTTATTAATTCTGTAAGCACACTATTCATTGTTGTGTTTAATAAATAAGTGTGATTATATATTGTGTTTCTAGTTTGTCAAGATCACATTGAATGATAAGCCCTTAAAAATACCAATTTCTTTTATCACCTGTGTGTCATCTAAAAACATGCTATTTTTTTAGTGATATTCTTATGGCATAATTCTATAATTATCTTCATCAGAGAAGGACAAACTGTACTCTTCCACCCACTGATTTTCTGAGCAATCATTGGATGAATAATGTCCACTCAAACAAATATTCATTAAGCTTACATTATGAAATCAGCTCAGCAAGGCCCCCTGGAGGATACAAAGAGATCTACCATGTGGTCCCTGCCCTATATTTGCTCCCAGCTAATTGAGAAGAGAGCAGGTAAGTGAAAAGTTCAATGATAAATGAGAGGCAGATATTTGGACGATACACACTGCATTTACTACAATAGATCAAGTGCCCATTCTGATTTGTTGACTTTTTAAAAATTTTCTTTACTTACAGATGGACACGTTACCTTTATTTATTTATTTTTATGTGGAGCTAAGGATCAAACCCAGGGCCTCACACTTGCTAGGCAAGTGCTCTACCATTGAGTTACAACCCCAGCCCCCTGATGGATTGACTTTTAATTCAGATTGCTGAGGCACCCATCCTGATTGGTTGAATCTTCATTTTGATTATTTGGACATCCATTCTGGTAGGCCAGACTTCCACTCTGATCACATGCTCATTTGAAACTGATTTTTACATATTTTTGCATATGGTCATGGATGCAAAAGTTAAATTAAAAATGAGATACTATTTTTAAAATGCTGCATGAAAGTATATTATCTGCTTGACAAGTCTTTACAGACCCTGCTTCTTATAACAAAGTCAGCATGGTGTAGATGAGATG